AAAAATGAAAGGAAAAAGGAAGAGGAGCCGACCAAGGGCAAGATGGATGGATGGGATACTTGAAGTGACTGATTGACCTTGAAGGAGCTGGGGATGGTGATGGCCGACAGGGAGCTCTGGTGTGGACTGGTCCATGAGGTCATGAAGAATCGGAAACGACCGAACGAATGAACAACAAACCTCTGGATGTGAGAGTTGGACGATAGGGAAGGCTGAGCGAAGGAAGATAGATGCTTTTGAACTGTGGTGTTGGAGGAAAGTTCTGAGAGTACCTTGGACCGTGAGGCGATCCAACCAGTCCATACTTCAGGAAATAAAGCCTGACTGCTCATTGGAGGGAAGGATATTAGAGGCCAAGATGAAGTACTTTGGCCACATTATGAGAAGACAGGAAAGCTTAGAGAAGAGAATGATGCTGGGGAAAATGGAAGGAAAAAAGGAAGAGGGGGCGACCAAGGGCAAGATGGATGGATGGTATCCTTGAAGTGACTGGCTTGACTTTGAAGGAGCTGGGGGTGGTGACGGCTGACATGGAGCTCTGGCATGGGATGGTCCATGAGGTCAAGAAGAGTCAGAAGCGACTGAACAAATAAACAACAATACGGCTGTGTGAAAAGGCCTAATGCACAACATATTCATGTAAAGATGAAAAACAACGATTCAGAAATCTTTTCACTGTAGCCAAATTTTTCAGGACCTCAACACTGATCCCATTTGAGTTCAGGGCCCACTGTTTAAGAAGCAGTGTCTTAGATAAGCCAACAGTTGTTGTTTCTGCTTTGTGGAATATATTGTCAAGATGTGGACGGTTGAATCCGTGGATGACGAATCTGTGGATACAAAGGGCTGAATGTATGTGGGAACCAAAGACACTGTATGTCATGTTTGAATCTGGAAGACACTTCCTTTTGGGACCTAAATATCCTCAAGACACTAGATGTGTCTCATTTTGGATGCTCAGCAGGTTCATCCCTGGTTAGTACTTGGATGGAGGACTGCCAAGGAATCCTGAGTGCTGTAGGCCGTTTTTCAGAGGAAGGAATTGGCCAAACCACTTCTGAGGCCGCTTCCACACGCCATATAATCCAGATTACCAAGAAGATAATAATAATAATAATAATAATAATAATAATAATAATTTATTTATACCCCGCCACCATCTTCCCAAGGGACTCGGAGCGGCTTACAAGAGGCCAAGCCCAACAATACATCAATAGAAACAAAAGCAATAAACAAAACAATAAATACAATACAATTAAAATAAATCACATATAAACAATAACCAATAAACAGTAACACACAAAGATTTAAAAACCTATGGCCAGGCCAAATGTATTTATTTATTTATTTATTTATTTACTTTGCTTATATACCGCTGTATCTCAAGCCCGAAGGCGACTCACGGCGGTTCACAAACAGTAAAAACAGTAGAAACAGCAGTGGTTCCATACAACATATAACAATTGACTTAACACATTATCCATAAATTACCAATAAGCAGTTACAATGCACAATTATTACAAAAAACAACCGTACCCAATCTTCTCATCATCCAAGCGTAGTCCAGGTTCGTCGTCCCTTGATGTATGTATGTATGTATGTATTTATTTATTTATTTGGAGTGCTTCTACCCCGCCCTTCTCAACCCCCCTAGGGGGGACTCAGGGCAGCTTACAAAAGGCACAATTCGATGCCCAACAGTTCACAAAATACAGTACAATATACAATAAACAATACACAAATTTACCATATAATGTCAACAATTATAACTAATTAAAACAATCAAACAGTATACTAGCAGCAATAAAATCATTCTGTGGTCAATGTTCGCCAATTCATAGTCCGTCATCCATCTAGCATCGTCATTATCCTTTCCTACTCTGGTCGTCATTGGTTGTCTTTGTCCATCTGCCAGCTTACCCGAAGGCCTGGTCCCACATCCAGGTTTTTAGCTTCCTTCTGAAAACAAGGAGGGATGTTGATGACCTAATCTCCCACCACCGAGAAGGCCCTGTCCCTCGTCCCCACCAGTCTCGCTTGTGATAAAGGTGGGGCCGAGAGCAGGGCCTCCCCAGATCTTAAACTCTGAGGTGGGACGTAGAAGGAGATACGTTCCGACAGTAAAAGTTAAAATTAAAAAATAAACACTGGGCATGAAGAAGGTAGGATATAACTGGTATAGGGTTTTCAAAGAGAGATGAGGGAATGCAGTCAATCCTAAATCAGTAGTAAAGTTCATTTTGAGGGCATATTGCTGAGAATTTTCCTTATTCTGGGAAGGCACACTGGAACACCCACGTTTTCAGGCTCCTCCTAAAGACTGCCAGAGTTGGGGCATGCCTGATGTCCTTGGGAAGTGAGTTCCAGAGTTGAGGGGCCACCACCAAGAAGGCCCTCTCGCTCATCCCCACCAATTGCGCCAGCGAAGGGGGTGGGAGCACAAGCAGGGCCTCTCCAGATGATCGAAGAGATTGCGTGGGTTCGTACACAGAAATGCAGGTAGGCGGGTCCCAAACCGTTCAGGGATTTGTAGGTAAGAACCTGCACCTTGAATTGGGACTGTAAAATTTATTTATTTGTCGTGTCAGATTAACAAGTCAATTATATTACATTTCTAACAGAACAAAGCAAACAAACAGATAAAATACAACATTTGTGAGTTTGGTAGTTGATTAAATGTCCTTTGACCAGTATCTGGCCACTTGGAGTGCCTCTGGTGTTGCCACAAGAAGGTCCTCCCTTGTGCATGTGGCAGGGCTCAGGTTGCATTGCAGCAGGGGGTCAGTGGTTTGCTCTTCTCCACACTCGCATGTCGTGGATTCCACTTTGTGGCCCCATTTCTGAAGGTTGGCTCTGCATCTCGTGGTGCCAGAGCGCAGTCTGTTCAGCGCCTTCCAAGTCGCCCAGCCTTCTGTGTGCCCAGGGGGGAGTCTCTCATTTGGTATCAGCCATTGGTTGAGGTGCTGGGGTTGGGCCTGGAGGGGTCGCAAAGGGGTGTCAGAGGGGTTACCAAAGACCATCAGAAAACACAGTATTTTCTGTTGGTCATGGGGGTTCTGTGTGGGAAGTTTGGCCCAATTCTATCATTGGTGGGGTTCAGAATGCTCCTTGATTGTAGGTGAACTATAAATCCCAGCAAGTACAACTCCCAAATCTCAAGGTCTATTTTCCCAAAACCCCACGAGTGTTCACATTTGGGCATATGGAATATCCGTGCCAAGTTTGGTCCAGATCCATCATTGTTGGAGTCTAGAGTACTCTCTGGATGTTGGCGAACTTCAACTCCCAAACTCAAGATCAATGCCCACCAAACCCTTCCACTATTTTCTGTTGGTCATGGGAGTTCTGTGTGCCAACTTTGGTTCAATTCCATTGTTGGTGGGGTTCAGAATGCTCTGTTTACAGGTTAACCATAAATCCCAGCAACTACAACTCTCAAATGGCAAAATCAATCCTCCCGCCAACCCCACCAGTATTCAAATTTGGGCATACCGGGTATTTGTGCCAAATTTGCTCCAGTGAATGAAAATACATCCTGCAGATCATTATTTACATGGCGATTCATAATGTTAGGTTTATGGTTTTGTTTTGTTTTTTTGCAAGTATGGCTATTATTACATTCTTTTTTTTTTTAAATAAATTTTTATTGAGTTTTGTGTTACATTACAGTAAAGTGCTGAAAAGATAAAGAGTGGGGGGGGGGGGRGGGAGAGAGAAAGGGGAAGAGAGAAGAAGAAAAAAAAAACCCTCCTCCCGCGTGTCCTTAAGTGCTTATTTCCAGTCCCTGAAGTGACTTCCCAAGGTTTTTCAAGAACCTTTGATGATTATATATCATTGTTCTTCATGTGTGCTGGCAATCTTATTTTTTCTTCTTTCTTACTCTTCTAAATGCAAGTCAAATCAATTATCATTGGAATTTCTCTTGTTTTTATATAGTCCTTAAAATCTGTCCAATCTGTTCTTCTGGATGTGCCGTTGATTCTCTGGGATAAGCTATCCATAATGTTAGGTTTATGGTTGGGGGTCACCACAACATGAGGAACTGTATTAAGGGGTTGCGGCATTACGAAGGTTGAGAACCACTGAGCTATCGGATGAGGCTCTGAGTTTGAGCCTGCCACTTTTGGACTCTTGCCTGCTGAGGTGTTCCAGCGAGTGTCTCTGTAGATCTTAGAAAACTATTTCTAGATTTAAGTTGTTGTAAAATGAACGGCAGCCAATGGAGCTCCTTAAACAGGAGGGTTGATCACTCTCTTTAAGTCACACCAGTTAGTAACCTGGCTGCTCCCCGTTGTACCAATTGAAATTTCCGTGCCGTTTTCAAGGGCAGCCCCACGTTGAGTGCATTACAGTAAGTGGATTAAAACATTATCTGCTTTAAAGTGGTTTAGATGAGTCTACACTGCCATATGATTCCATTCAAAGCAGACCATCTGGATTTTATATGCCACACAGCTGAATAAACTCCCACATTATCTGCTTTGAACTGGAATACAGTGTGGACTCTGATCACCCAGTTCAAAGCAGATATTGTGGGATTTTCTGCCTTGATATCCTGGGACATAGGGCTGTGTGGAAGGGCCCCATGTGGGTCTGCAAGCCACAAGGCCGCGCAAGGCGCAAGCGTCGAGGGCCTGGCTCCGCATACGTGGCACCGCGTTGCTTTCGACTCAGCCTCTGCTCTTGAATCTCAACCCTGGGCTGAGTCACGCACGTTGCGCTGTTACCACGGCAACGCCAGCGCCGGCGGCGCAATGCCGCGGAAGGCAACGGGTCCGAACCCTAGAGATATGAAAGTGTAGAACGAAGGAACTTGAACTGCTAGTCGAAACGGGAAGGCTGCCTTGAGCCTCGACTCCCTAAGAAGCTGCGGCGAGTCTCCTTCGACAATCAGAGAGAGAAAAGGGAATCAATTTAAGGCGGAAAGATAGTGGAGAAACGACGAGAAGCGCTCTAGGAGATAGCAACGAGGCACGTGACGCAAAGGGGGCGGAGCCTGCACCGTGGCCCCGCCCCTTTAGGAAAGGGAAGAGGGCGAGCGGGAGTCGGGCGAGGGAGCGGCGCGTGGGTGGCTGGATCTCTCCTGGGCCGACCATGGCGCCTAGCGGCGATATTATGGGGGCAGCTGAAGACCTCGCCGACCAGGTAACGCTCCCCCCTTTTTCTCAAGCGGAATGGTCTGGGCTGGAGGCGCGCGCGGTTGAATGAGCCTCGTGCTGGGACCGTACCATCGCGCGGGAGGAGGAGGGCCGTATTTCTCCGCCTTCTATACGCGGGAAGACTGGCAGGCCGGCTTATACCATTAATGCGGCGGCGGGGGGATCTTTTTTTGTGAAAGGTCGATACCATCTGTTCCACAGGGAAAGGGTGGGCGCCTCTATTGGAAAATGCGGATTGAGGGGAAGGGCTCGGTTTCCTGTAAACGTCTTCCTCCTTCTCCGAAGAGTGAAAGGGCCTGAAATGTCTCTCTAGGCCCCTTTGAATTCAGAGTGTGGACAGTTTCCTATCCTGAATGGTGGCAGAACTAGGAAAGGGACGCCTGAAGGCCTACTGGGTGCCAAAATGGGTGTATTTGGTGTAATTGAATATTTTGTACCATTATTTGGTTGGCAATTGTATAGTGCAAACCCTGAGGCACCATTCCTTCAGCCCCACACAATGGTTTGGCAAGATTGTGATCATGATGATGATTATTATATCTCTACATGGTAGATAGATAGGGCTGAGGGAATGGCTAATCACAATTATTCAGTGAAACCATGTCAACCCATGAACATCACAGAGTTGGAATAGAGCAAAAGGCCATTTAGCGCAATCCTATACTGCCATGCACAATCAAATCACTCCCGACAGATGGCCATTCAGCCTCTAATTCAAAACCAGAGAAGGAGGCTCCACCACACTTCTCGTATCCCACTGTTGAACAGCTCTTACTATCAAGGTCTTCCTAATGCCTAATTGTTATTATTATTATTTACGACATTTATATGCTGCCCCTCTCACCCCAAAGGGGACTCAGAGCGGCTTACAAGGTATATATACATACAATATATTATTAACATAGGAGCCTCCGGTGGTGCAGTGGGTTAAAGCCCTGTGCCGACAGGACTGAAGACCGACAGGTCGCAGGTTCGAATCCAGGGAGAAGCGGATGAGCTCCCTCTATCAGCTCCAGCTCCTCATGCGGGGACATGAGAGAAGCCTCCCACAAGGATGATAAAACATCAAATCATCCGGGCGTCCCCTGGGCAACGTCTTTGCAGACGGCCAATTCTCTCACAACAGGAGTGGTTGCTCCTGACATGACAAAAAAAATAAATAACATAGTACAATATAAGTTTTAAATATTGCTATATTGTACTATATCGACTGTACTGTAATATTATTGGTAATATTACATGTAATATAAATATATAATTATAATAAGGCCCCTTCCACACAGCTGCATAAAATCCCACAATGTCTGCTTTGAACTGGGATATATGGCAGTGTGGGCTCAGGGCATATAACCCAGAATATCAAGGGATAAAATTTATTTATTTATTTAAAGCTTTTGTATCCCGTTCTTCTCTACCTCCGTGGAGGGATTCAGAACGGTTAACAGCAAAATTCAATGCTATACAATAAATAATGTCATAAAACAACATACAATAAATAAGTTCTAAAATACATATAAATAGTAAAGAGTAGAGATATCACACTGGCAACGAAGATCCGCATAGTCAAAGCCATGGTATTCCCTGTAGTCACCTATGGATGTGAGAGCTGGACCTTAGGGAAGGCTGAGCAAAGGAAGATCGATGCTTTTGAGCTGTGGTGTTGGAGGAAAGTGCTGAGAGTGCCTTGGACTGCGAGAAGATCCAACCAGTCCATACTCCAGGAAATAAAGCCCGACTGCGCATTGGAGGGAAGGATACTAGAGACAAAGCTGAAGTACTTTGGCCACATCATGAGGAGACAGCAAAGCCTAGAGAAGACAATTATGCTGGGGAAAGTGAAAGGTAAAAGGAAGAGGGGCCGATCAAGGGCAAGATGGATGGATGGCATCTTTGAAGTGACTGGACTGACCTTGAAGGAGCTGGGGGTGGTGACGGCCGACAGGGAGCTCTGGCGTGGGCTGGTCCATGAGGTCACAAAGAGTCGGAGACTACTGAACAAATGAACAACAACAACAAAATACATATAAAAACAATTCATCACATTAAAAACAACATCCAACTCAGTCCAAAACGCTGTGGCCAAATAACTCTTAGTCTATATCAAATCATCCGTCAATCTGCAAATGCCTGACTCCAAAGCCAGGATTTTAGCTGAATGACAGGAGAGAGGGGGCAGACCTAATCTCAATGGAGAGAGAGAGTTCCATAGCCGGGGGGCCACCACAGAGAAGGCCTGGACTCTCATCACCACCAAACGTGCCTGCGAAGATGGTGGGACCGAGAGCAGGGCCTCTCTGGAAAGATCTTAAAGTCCTTTATAGGGGAAGATACGTTCGGACAGGTAAACCATTCACAATATCAGCTTTGAACTAAGGCCCCTTCCACACAGCTGACTAAAATCTCACATCTGTTTTGAACTGGAATATATGGCAGTGTGGACTCAGTAACCCAGTTCAAAGGCGATATTGTGGGATTTTCTGCCTTGATATTCTGGGTTACATGGCTGTGTGGAAGGGCCCTGGGTTGTTTGAGTCCACACTGCCATATATTCCAGTTCAAAGCAGAAAATGTCGGATTTTATTCAGTTGTGTGGAAGGCCCTCAGATAATCCAAAACAGATATTGTAGATTCTTGTGCCTTGATATTCTGGGTTATATGGTTCTGTGGAAGGGCCCTAAGTGGTTTCATTTTCCCCCTGCAGTTTGAATCCACTGCAAGCTTCATATCCTGATCCTCGCCACTGTGGCAAATCCTTTGCAGCTCTGGGGGAGGAGCCTGTGGCTTCCTGCCGGGGAAAGCCTATCTTTTCAAAGTGTTTTTGTGAATGGTGTAGAATTCATTCCTCTGTATGCATCCCGTTCCAATGCTCATTCAGGCTCAGTGTGGGAAAAGGTATAGTGCTAGATCAGATGATTCCTGCAGGGTCACCATTTAGTCTCGGGATAAAAAAAAAACCTTATTTTTCTTGGTTCTGTAATCTCAGAGAATGCGGTCGTTGTGTGGTCGTCTTCATGTTAGACTACGACTTCCCCAGAACCTGCAGTATTGAAATGATGGTTAGGAACATCCCATTTAGACTACTGTAATGGGCTCTACTTGGGCCTGCCCTTGTTGACAGGTTATTGACAGGTGCTGGACCCAGGTAGGGTACCACCCCCCTGTTATAGCACCTACACTGGCTGCAAATATATTTCCGAGCCCGATTCAGGGTTCTCGTTTTGACCTTTAAAGCCCTAAACCAGGGGTCTTCAAACTTTTTAAACAGAGGGCCAGGTCACAGTCCCTCAAACTGTTGGAGGGCCGGATTATAATTTGAAAAAACCATGAATGAATCCTTATGCACACTGCACATATCTTATTTGTAGTGCAAAAAACACTAAAAAACAATACAAAAATTAAAATGAAGAACAATTTTAATAAATATAAACTATGTATTTCAGTTGGAAGTGTGGGCCTGCTTTTGGGTGATGAGATAGGATTGTTGTTGTTGCTGTTGTTGTGTGCCGGGTAAATAACCTTGGAGGGCCGTATCTGGCCCCCGGGCCTTAGTTTGAGGACCCCTGCCCTAAACGGTTCTGGCCCAACTTACCTAGCTGACTGCATGACCCCTTACCAACCTGCCTGATCATGAAGATCTTCCGGAGAGACCCTTCTCTCATTGCTGCTGCTGCTGTCACAAATACAGTTGACGGTGATGAGAGTGAGCGCCTTCTTGGTAGCTGCCCCAGCCCTTTGGAACTACCTATTGCGATTCAAACCGCCCCTTTCCCTGTTGCTTTTTAAGAGCTAGTTGAAGGCCTACCTGTTCTAGCAAGCTTTTGACAAATGATTTAAATTGCTAATGATAGCAAGGTCTATTTGCACTGAGCTAAGTGAAATATACTATTTAATTGATGAGTCTCCACAATATTTGTAAATGGTTTTAAATGTTTTAATGCTTAATATTGATTTATATCTTATTTCATATTAGACAGTTTGCAATATAAAATGATTTTGAGTATCCTCTAATCACAGAGAAGGTACCTATTACACATTTCCAACCTTGCAATTGCAGAGGGATTAGGAGCCCAAAACAGTGCACACAAAGGTAGATGCTAACTATCTATTTTGTGCTTGTAGTTATGAATATGGAGACATGCAACGTGGTCACAGTTCCTCCAGATTACTCTTGAATGAAAAGCTGCACTTCTTATATGTGTGTTCTCATTGTAACATGAGATTTATCTGCTCTTTGCCATTAGGTGTACTTTTCAAAATTGTGAAAGAGATTCTTTGTTGTCATGCACATCACCACAAAGTACCTTCCCACTGGGAGACCTGTTCTGTTAATCTTTTTGGTAAAGATAGTCAGTCATGCAGCCGAGGAGGTGGATTCTTTAGTCAGCAAGAAGAAGAAAAAACCACGCTACTTCCTTCCTTGATTATTATCTAGTTGCTTCTTGCTTTACGTTATCCTGTGGCAGTCATAGCATTTTGTATAAGGAAATTCAAATCAGTGTTAGCTGTGCTCTTTCATGATGGGGAAAAATACTAAAGAAATGCATAGCCATTAATTATCAGCCAGAAGTTTTGCAAATGTCCATAGTAATATTGCTCAGCTGTCAGATAATATAGCCCACAACCGATTTCTTGCATGTTACTTTTTCAAGAATGTAATAGAAACTAGTTGTGAAAATAAGATGATATTTCAAGACAAGCTGTGTGGTATGGAATGTGATACTATGCACAGATGTCTGAAAGGTAATCACACTGAATTCAATGTGGTTCATTGCATTGCCTTCCTACCCTTTCCAAATATAGCTAGTCCCCAAGTTACAGACATCTGACTTACATTCGACTCATAGTTAAGAATGGGGGTGAGACAACAGGAAGTGAGATGAAATCTAACTCTAGGAAGGGAAATTCATTCCTTAAAGAGATATCATGGAGAAAGGATGTCTTTTCAACTCAAGCTTTATCACCAATCCTTGTTTCTATGACAAAACA